ACGAATTACAAAAACAAAGATCAGGTTTAATGATCAGTAAACAAGAGAATGTATGTAAACACAGATGCTCTAAAGTACAGATGTTAGAAACAAACTAGATAGTGCCTTACAGAATGCCCTTCCCGAGTTTTACCAATCTATACTTCACTCAAAATTAAGGTTGAAGAAAACAACAACAAATTTATACAGGTAAGGCCCACCCACTTATTCCCTTTATAAATACTGGAAGAAGAAAAAAACAATAGTTTACACCATTGTCTGCATTATAATAAATACATATGTATACATTTTATATACTTACGAAGGGAAAAATTAACTATAATCCATATAAAAAGTATAAGAACCATCAAAAGTACACAGGAAGGAAAAGATAAAAAGAATTTCAAAGCAACTTAAAATAGAATGGGGTCAATATTTTTAAATAAAAGAATATCAGAGATTTTTCTGAAGACAACTGCTACCAAATATACTGAGTCAAATTAAGTTTTACTTAAGATAAAAACATTCCAGGCCATCTACCAACTGCCATGGTGCACACTGACTGCTGTAATGCATTATTGACAGACAATACACTACAAAGCTGGATATGCCAGAACCTATTTCAAGTAACCAGGACTCTGTGTCAAGGAAAACTTAGCCACTAGAAAGTGATCCTGCCTATGGCTGCAGAAGCTAACCAGTGCCATCAGAATTCTATGACTTTTCTATAGACAGCCACTTAAGGTTTTCATAAGAAACAAACAGATACATGATCTGCCCATGCTGTTATACACCTGAATGTCTGAGGGTTTTCTACAGTGTAATGAGGGTCATCTGACCTGGGCAAGTCATTAGTTACCCAGAAAAAACATTCAGTAGTTACATCCAAATGTATCAGGCTAACAGCTCTAACAGTTGACACCTAGAAAGCATGTGATGCTGCTCAATGGGCCTCACATACAACATTTCACAAAACAACTGCTGACTCTCCGTGCACACATTGGGACTGCAGGAGGGCAGTCTCAAGAATCCAGAGACTCTTGACTGTTCCCAAAAAAAAAAAAAAAAAAAAAAAAAAAAATTCAACTTTTAATGAAATTAATTATAAAGTTGTTGAAATATCCATGCTTTGTATCTGGAAAGATGGCTCAGTGGTTAAGAACACTGGCTGCTCTTCCAGAAGGCCCAGGTTCAATTCCCAGCAACTATACAGCAGCGCACAGCTGTCTGTAACTCCAGTCCCAGGGATCCAATGCCCTCTTTCTGGCTTCCATGGGCACTGCATGCATACGGTACACATACACATAGGCAAACACTCATGCACATTAAAATAAATATTCATGCTTAGATAAAGTGTCACTCTATGAAAGTTTGTATCACACACTGATATTGAGAATAATGAAATAATAAGAATATAGGAATAAAGAGAACAAAATAAGAATTTAAAATGTTAACTGGCCATGAATGTAAATAAATTCTAATAATTTTATCGCATAAACAACCAGATTTTCATACAAGTTTCCATAAGACAATGTGCAAAGAAACACATGGGATTACAAAATTGTAAATGGAAACCAGCACAATTTAGCTATGGTTGAAAACTGTATATGGACCAGAGCATAGGCACATGCCTTTAATCCCAGCACAGGTAGTTCAAGGCCAGTCCTGTCTACATAGTAAGTTCCAGGACTGTCAGGGCTATGTACAGAGGTCCTGCCCCACTTCCCCAAAAAAGATTTTTTTTTCTTTTTCTGAAAAACACTTAAATATTTCCCTGAAATGTGTTTCTTGTGTCTATTTACTGTTACTTTTATTTGTTAGCCAAAGAAACAACTCAAGAGTTGTATCTTTAGAACCAAATAATTACTCGCAGAGTGGTTTTGTTGAAGCTAGCACGGTAACTCCCTTTCCTCTCACACATCCACTCACAGACGAACATGGCAGTACCAGCTACACACCATAACACATTGCTTCATCCTAAGGGAGGACACTCCAAAGCTGGAAAAGAAAATTCAAACAAATTCACCAATCCCATTCAGCTGCTATACGTCCAAGAGACAGGAATCATCTAGACAGAACAATTGTTCCACATCTTCTTGCTTTTTTTCCGAAACATTTGTCTCAGTTTTAGCATAACTGATATACCAAAGTCAATGAAAACCAGCATTCCCTTGAACATCATAACTCTTTATGATATAAAAGAAATGCCTTTTCAAAATAATCTTTAGATGGCTATTTTATTTGAACCATCATTTCCTTTAAGATAAGGAAAGGGACAGGGAGTGGAGATATAAATTCACATACATTCCAGAGTCAGATATAGCCTATGATAGCACAAACCTATCCCACACAGCTGTGGTGAGAATTAGATGAGCTAATGCATGCGAAGTACCAGAATAGGATCCAACACAGAGAGCTCTCAGTAAATGTGAGTGATCACTTTATCATGTCCCATCTGACTTGTCCCCTGTGTTCCTTAGAAAGCAGGGAAGAATGGCAGAGAAGACAGATGCCCCACCACCACCACCACCCCACCACCACCCACCACCACCCCCCACCACCACCACCACCCCCCACCACCACCCCCCACACCATCTTGTGCTTACATACCACGGACCACACAGTCCAGCTCCTATTCTCTCCCAGGAGAACGCTCTAGATGGGCCGCTTGGTGTCAAGCATGAAAGGATGATTGGGACTTGTTCTGTACCCTCAAAGCCAGTGAGAAATAGTACTAGTCCTTGATGAATCTCCAGATTACTGAGGGTTATAAGGGAATGGCTTAGAAGGACAAGCCCACTCACACCAGAAAGTGGATGAGACACTAAAAATCAAAGGCAAATGACAGCAGAAAAGTGGTGTCAGGTTGCCTTAACACAGCCACTTAGGGGCATTAAAGAGAAGATGGCTTGGTCAAGCAGCCAGTATAATTGACAAGCAGAATCCCACTAGACACTGTCCATGTAAGTCATAACAGGAAGTAGGGGAGTGTCTCACTTCCTTAGGCACTGGCACCTAAGTTCTCTTAGGGGCTGGGAAGATAGCTCATCAAATAATTGCTTGCTTTGCAACCATGAGGACATGAGTTCAATCTCCAGACACAACAGTACACACCTTCAAATCTAATGCTTAATAGGCAGAGACAGGAGGATCCCAAGAGTTCGTCAGCCAGTCGATCTAGCCAAATCAGTAAGCTCCAGGTTCAGTGAAAGACCTTGCCTCAGGAATAAACAGTCTTCACAGACACACAAACCTAAGAAGGTCCCTTTGTGCTCTGACTATATAGCTACTTTGGTGGTCACTTTGACCAACTGCAGGACAGGAACAACTTAAGAAAATAAGATCTATGCTGGTTCACATTTCAAAGGATTGCAGTTCATTAAAGGACATGGCATTCGTGGAGGAAAGAATGTGTGGCAGAGACACCTCACATGGCACACTGAGTAGGAGGTAGAGAAAGCAGACTGGAACCAGGGGCTGATGCAACATTTTAAGACCCACCCTTTACAGCCCATTCCCACCAGCCTGTCCCAACCTTCTTCAAAAGTGTTGCAAGCTCTGGCAAAGCATTCAAATCATAAGCCCATGGGAAACATCCCCTACTCAAACTGTAAGAGTGTTAGTGAAGCAGAGAAACTCGGTGGGCAGTGACATGTAAATGGTGCTGTGGCTCATAAAATTAATCTCAAGTGTAAAATGGAAAATAATGTCAATTCAAATGATTTACACTTTCCCTGAGGTTTTAAAAACAAGCTTCTATAATCTTTCTTAGTCAAGACAGACATAAAAACCACAGCTGAAACATACAAAATGAAGTACAGAAGAGGAGTGAACGGTAATACATTGAGATCTGTCCCGAGCATCATCTGTGCCCTGTACCAAAGGGTAAAGTGTGCATGAGAAACAAGTAGGCTCTTTCACTGAGCCACACTCTCAGTCTAGCGAGCATTTAAAGTAATCTCTATAAGCTAAAATAGAACCCTTCTTTCTATAGTGGACAATACTTACAGCGTAAAGATGGTAGAGGAGAGTATGAGGAGGAGGACCAACTGAAAACTAGCATCTCTCCTCCATGTGGGTATTCTACTTGAAGTTCTACTTTCCCAGTGAATTACATGGAACAAAGCCTTAAAGTTAACTTAGCCAATTACAGTTATGCTTTCAAAACATGCACATGAGTCAAACACAGGTGAGTTAAGGACAGGGCTGTGATAAGCTGTGTTTAGAACTGGGGTATTTATGCCATAAGATCTGCAAGGTGTTATCATATATTAGATGTTACTTCTGTTGTTTATTTTGTATTGTTTATATAAATACAATCACATCATTTTAAATAGCATATGTGGACTCTTACAAGAGCTAAAAGTGCTGTTTTGTAGCACTCTGACTACATAACCCCATAAATTCTTGAGTATTTTCTCTTTGTACATTGCTGTCTATTATAATTCAACCCCAAAGGTCTTGTCTGTTTCTGCCACTAGACAGCAAACACAGTGGCTGTAAAATCTCCAATACTTTCTTCATTAGTAACTTCATCTAACCAAAAAGACTGTCTCTTTGGTGTTATAAACAAAATACCACCCATTATTTCTATATTGTTCAAACCTTCCAAAGCATGTAGAAAGTGTTGCATGACTGCATACAGAATTTACTTCCACTAATACAAACCACGGAAGGTATGGAGTTAACCAAAGTAATGAATAATGCAAAGAGCTTCTACTTCATCTTTGCACACTGACAGTATGTATGTATGTATGTATGTATGTATGTATGTATGTATGTATGTATGTAAACCATAAGTCAGATTTGCAAAACTGAGCTGCAGCAAATCTATGTGTGACTGCACCAACACACTTAACATTGAAATGTCAGAATCTGTAAGTAATTGGAAATGGCTGAATAAAGAACAGAGATGCAATTTACATATATTACATGTGTTCAATAGCAAAGAACACATATCACAGAATAGAAAAAAATCAGTATAAAACACAAACTAAAGTAACAAAATGTGAATCCCCTACCTGAGTATCTTTGTATTTGTCTCGAAGGTCCAGGAGCCGGTGGTAAGCTTTAATGGCTTCCGAAAATTCCCCAACGTCCGTGCTGGTGAGAATATAGTTTTCCCAGATTTGCCAGTGTTCATAGTTGCATTTCAGAGCTTCTTGTAAAGTTCTAAAAGCTTTGACTCTGCAAGAGGTTAGATTTTTAAAGAAAGGAACAATGAATTCTTTCCAATTAGGAAAATCACAGCTAAGTGCACATAAACGAAATGTGAATGGCTGCTCTTCAATAGCTTATATCAATATATCGCTCAGGAATAACATCACCCAAATAACACAAAATCAGCAAGGTCCCCTGCATAGTTCAATAATGATACTGGGGACACAAAGTACTCTATGGAAATATGTCTTCCCTAATTTATTTACTACTAACAAGGACATTATAACGAGTCATCAGTCTCAATATTGTCCCAAGAAAAGGCCAATTCAAGTTCCAGACTCCAGCCAATCTACAGTGACCTACCAAGTGCAGCTGCAATCCTACAAGAAAGATAGAGACAGCAAAAATAAATCTGCAAAACAAAATCATAAAACCTGGCGGGGGGGGGGGGGGCTCTACACAAAGATGGGACAGTCTACAAAATTATCCAACAAGAAATAAACTTAATAAAACTAAGGTCCATTTTTAAAAATAATTATTTTGTTGTTATTTTATGTGTACAGATGTTCTACCTGTTTATACATCTGTGCACCACAGCCATGCCTGATGCCTGTGGTGGCCACAAGAGAACAGAGCTCCTAGAACTATAGTTACCGTGTGGGCTGTTGGAATTGAATCCAGGTCCTAAGGAAGAATAGCCAGTGTGCCCTTAACTGAGCCATCACTCCAGACCCTAAGCTACAGTTGAGTAGTCTACCAAACATAGGGGAGCATAAGATAGGAACAAGGGGTATTAAGAAAGCAGAAGTGGGGTATATGCAAAAGGACACATGATATAAATGTATAATGGAGGATACTTGGACAGACAGATGGGGAAGCAGCAGAGAGAGAAACAGCAAAGACAAATTTTGTTTGAAAAGTTGCATAATAAAACCTTATTTTTTTGTATGATAAAACATATTTTTAAAAAGAAGTAATCTGAGAAGCCTCTGAACATATTTGTTTAAAAAAAAAAAAAAAAACACACACACACACACACACAGACGAGGCACTAAAAAAGAACAGAAGACAATAAAACAAAACTAGGTACAAATAAAACAAGACCAAGAAAATGTGAACAAAAACAACTAGCAATTTCAGAGCTGAAAGAAACATTTAAAATAAACAAAACTTAATGTATGTCTAAAAGCAAATTGCATATAATTCAAGAGAAAATTGGTAAACTGGAAGAATAGTGAGGAGTTTGCCAAAATTCAGATTAAAACATAAATGAAGAGTGGGGAAACAATCTGGTAGAAATTCCAGAGTAAAGGAATGCTATGGCAGGATGCTATGGCTCAAAGACAGTGGCTGAACACTTTTCAGAACCAAGCACAGATCCAAAAAATTTGATCAAAAAAGTATATTGCACATGAAAATACCCTAATATTTACAAAAGAATAGCAACTGGAAGGTATTTCATCAGCAACAAGATGACAGAAAACAATAAAGTATGTAATACTTCTAACATGCTGAATGAAATTAACAGCTAACCTAAAAAAGTTTTATCACCAGATAAACTTACCACTCAAAAGAAAATGCAAAATCAAACATATTTAAATATACATGGGGAACACTGAGAACCATTGCTCTAGAGTAACAGCAAAGAAATTAAAGAGGACAATTCAGGCAAGAATAAGGGGGTGATGAACCTTCACCCCTACTTTTACACAAAATCTTTTCACAGGACAGTAGAATAATAAAAAATACTAAGAAGTAAAACAGTATTTGAGAACTGTCTACAAAGAACGATGAAAGACATGTTGGAGCATGAAGAGCCCAGTGTAGGCTGGAGAGATGACTCAGCAGTGAAGAGCACTTGCTGCTCTTGAAGAGGACCTGGTTTTTCTTCCCAGCATTCCCCTGGCAGCATACAACCATCTGTAACTCCAGTTTCAGGGGTTCCAGTGCCCTTTTCTGGCCTTTGTGGACAACAAGCATGCACACAGTACACATACTTACACACAGGCAAGCAAAGACTCATACACACAGAGTAAAAATAAATTAATCTTTAAAAAAAAAAAAAAGCCTCACTATATACAAGATTATCCAGGCTCTTAGGAAAAACTAACAGCCAAGACACCTTAGAGCAACAGATATCTAATAAGCATTAGCACAGTCCATTTTAATCAAGAACATAGTATTATTTTTAAGAGATTGGTAGGATAAGCTGAACTCTATTTATACAGACTGTTAGCCAAGAGCAGAGGAAGCATTTCATGATCTCAGTGTAAAATGGTCTTGACATCTTCAGAAATATCTTGTGGCTCCACAACAGATACCAAGCCTGAAAATAAGACTAAGAAAAATGGAAACACCCCCTTTCCTTACTGCATTAAAAGCTCTGGCAGTAGCAACTCTTGTCTCTTCCATTCCCTTCATTTTTCATAGCCAGTTGGGCTGTTGTGTTTGGCATCTGCCTCTTCCTTTTCCACTCTAGTTATCTCAAGTCTTCCAGCTTCCAGTTCCCTCTCTACTCTGCCTCATATATGGCCTCTGGATACATATTCATTCCCCCAAGTTTCTCTTTGTTTGTTTCCCACCAAAATCTCAGACTATTCCCAACAGGATGGTCTCAACATGTTAGTTAGGATTAGAAGACACAATGAGATGGGTGTGACCTGCCTTTCTACCCTTCTCTTTCACTTGAGAGCTCACATTACTCTACAGCTGGACTACTTTACTTCCAGCTCCTAAATAATCCACTCAATTATGTCACCCTACATTCGGACACATCACTTCTTTTGCCTAAAAGGTGTCCTCTATTTTTTCCATATACCTAGTGTCAGTAGAAGACAAGCATCTCTAAGCCAGGCTCACAGACCTTCTCTTCTGAGATCTTCACAGGACTACATAGTTCCTGACACACACAACAGCCCCTCCTTTATCAAAGCTCCCTTTGCATTCTTGTTTGATATTCCATATGGCTCATGTCTCTAATCACCTTTTAAAATAATGTTGCAGATTGATTTATTTCTTAAATCTACATCTCCAGAACAGTTAAGTCATGTTTATATTTTATAAAAATGTCTAAGACAAGCAATTAATAAGAAAACTACCAGTTGAATTTACTAATTAAAGGTCTGTTTGTTTTTATCATGTAATGAAATTTAGGGTGAAAAACTCTGGTGGTAAATAACAATTTTAAGAGATATTTCTTTATTTTATTATTCATAATATATATTTCATTATACAGTAAATGTTTTCAAGAAATAACTATACAATTAGAATTCAAAGGTTCATTAAGTTATTTTAACTTATATACAAGGGTAGGAAAAAAAGAGAAACAAAGCTAGACACAGATATTAAATGTTCAGTTGGAGAAAAATCTCACAAATTTTAGGGGAAAACCAAGTTCTTCATATTAGACTCATATACTTACTTTTGTTTTAATCGAATATAAGAAGTAGACAAATTGTTCCAAGCCTCAGCATTCTGAAATAATGGATAATCATTAGAGATTGTTCTTAAGGAAGACAATTGTTAAAACCAAAGTACAACCCATTTTCCTAGTCTGATATGAACCCTTAAAAAAAAAAAAAAAATCACAATTTTCAATAATGTGTTTGAAAGCCGGAAAAAAAAAAAAAAAGCATAAAGTTAAATTAAGCATTACTTTTATGGCTTATGTAAGAAATAAAAAAAAAAAATCAACCAATGACATAGGTATCACAGCACTGATTCACTTCAGTTAAATTTTTATTTTCAAATTTTGAGATGAAATAGTTGGAAAATTTACAATATAATTTAACTAATATGTCAATATTTATTATTATTCAAGTAAAATTAAGGCTTATATAAATACTGCTTCTAATAAAAAAGGTTATGAATTTTACTTTGTTCTTTCTATTTAATAAAATACAGCTTTGAACTGCACACATAGGATTTTTAAAGTTAAATGGTACTGACTGCCCTTTGCAGATGTAGCAAAGCAAGTGAGTACCTGGCTAGCCTTCTCACCATAAAAATCTCCAGTGTAGACAGAATAAGCCCTGTGTGGGGAGGTGGTTACAACAGCACAGGGGAGGTCCTGTAGAGAGGACCTATTGGTTCTCGGCAGGTGGCCCAGCCACTGTCTAGGGCACAATCAGGGCTCCCACACAGACAGACAGACTCCTGTCTGTCCACCAAGATGAAGGAAGGGGACCAGACTACAGGGCCGAGAAGGCAAATATAGAATCTATAGCACAACGCCATGGAAGAGAGGTAAGAGAACAAGTTCTAGAAAGTTCTATAAGCATGTGCAGAGTCCTAGGCTGGGCACTAAGCTTTACGATACCGCTAGACTTTCAGAGGCCTGGGGGAAAAAAATGAATAAATAAAATCAACTGCCAAAATACTTCATGCTGATTTTGGAGGTCACACACCAACAGGAGTTTCAAGTTCTGACCAAGCATGACATTCAAGTCAGTCCAAGAAAGCTTACTCCTAACAGGACAATTACACTTTGGTTATGAGCTTATCCTTTAATGGCTGAGCCATGTCTCCAGCCCCTACCAGGACTATTACAACCCAGAAAATGACAGCCCCAAGTCTAACAAAACTTAATTCAAAATAATCTACAAGTAAATTAACTAAATGCCAAAATAAAACTCAGTCTTCCAAAGGGAAAATAAGGAAATGCAGAGACATAACAACCACACACAATTGTGTTGTAGGCACAACAAAAAAGAGGTCGGAGCCAGGCATGGGGACAAATCCCAGCACTCGGGAGGCAGAGGAAGCAGGACAGTAAGCTTGAGGTCAGCCTGGACTAAACCACTGAGTTCAAGGCCAGCATGAACTAGGTAGTAGGATACTGTCTCAAACAAAAAGAGAGAAATAAAGATGACTGACAGACATACAGGAGGAAGGGAGGGAGGACCAAATAAATAAATCAGGAAAGATGCAAAGAAGTGGGGAAATTTTACCCACAGCCAAAGATTGATAAAAATGAAAACACGCAAGAGCTGTTGGCATAATCATAAAAGACATGATAACAGTTAATAAAGTGCAGTTACAGACTCCGCAAACAGAAGCACAAGAGGACGGCTGGGGACTGAGCACATGACTGCTGAAAGAACCACAGGAAGATGCTTCAGTTGCACTGTCTTCCATCCAATTAGTCCAAGGGATGCTCTGTGTGGCCTGCTGGGGATCACAGAGCAAGAGCAAATCCCACCCAAGGCAGAGCAGTGGGACATGCTGGACATCGTAAGCATATAAATACTCACAATTAGAGTGCCAGAAGGAAAAAAAGGAGAGGGGTAACTCAGTCAGAGTGTGTGTAGCACGTGTGAGGCCCCAAATTCAATTCTCATCACCACAAAGCCAAAAGGATATAAGCAATAGCTAAAGATCCTCAAATTTGATGAAGCTACTTAGTCCATAATCCCCCCAAAATGTTAATGTCCCCAAGAAAAACATGTACAAGGAAAAAAATCATACCAATACTTCTTTTTAAAAATGGTCAAGACAGGTGGTGGCAGTACACATCTTTAATTCTAGTACTCAGGAGACAGAGGCAGGAGGCTTTCTGTGAATTCAAGGCTAGCCTGGTCTATAAAGTTCCAGGACAGCAAAGGCTACACACAAAAAAAAACCCTGTCTCAAAAACACATACACACACAACAAAAGGGGGGGGGGGAAGGAATGGTGTCAAAAGAGCAATTATAGAGGTAGATAAAGTAAAGAGACATTATATATAAAAGGGAAAATGTGTTCAAAAGTTAAAAAATTTAAATTAATATAGAAACCAATTATTCTCTACGGTCTGCTAATATACTACAAAATAAAATTTAAACCCAGCAGTATTTATAACAGAATCAAGGAATCTCAATTCAGGCTTGCATCTTAAAGAAATTATAAACTATGTGCATGCAAAGATTTGTACAAATGTTCATAGTAGAGTTATTCACTCTACTACAGTAAAATGGCACAAAGATCCCTCAACAGGATGAGACATGCACACAATATAGATGCCACAAAACATTAAAAAGATGTGCAGTTACAACTAATAGCACACAAAACCTGAAATATGTCCCAGGCAAATGAAATCTGAAAAATGAATTCCTAATGTACAAGTTAATCTGAAGGTATGGAATAACATCAGAGAAAAACTTCAGCATAGCTACACTAAGGGACACAGAGGAAGAAGTTCATGGTGACAGGAGAGAAGACAGGAGGCAATGAAGTTTTGACATCTTATTTTTCAAACCTGTCCAAACTGTTCATTTGAGACTTGTGGGCACTCTTTAAGTCATATTGCACTTAAAGGAAATGAAGGTAGGTGATATTTGGTTACTATTTCAAATATACAATTTGCTGTGTATTTGAGATGAATGATGGACTCTGAAAATCAGGAGCCCATTAAGCAAATGCCTATTATCTATATGATCCTCCCTGTTTTCTTTAGAGTCAAGTTACTACAGCAATTCAGATATTTATAAAGTACGCATTGCACATGAAAGAGGACCTGAGTTCAGAAGCCCAGGTGCTTGTGAAAAGCCTAGTGTGGTAATTTGTGTTTATAACTCTGCCCTGGGAGGCAGAAATAAGGGGTCTCCAGCACTGGTAGCCAGCTAGGCTCAGTGAGACCCTACCTCAAAAAAAAAAAAAAAAAAGTGGAAAATGATAGAAACTTATGCCAACTTATGACCACTACATATTCACACACAGGTACATACACATTCATACATGTAATGCCCCCAACACACACAGAGACAGGGGTGGGGGGAGATCAACTCAGTAGGTTTTATGCAGGCATGCGCACACCACACCACACCCACACCCACACACACCCTGAGAGGAGGATCAAGCCAACTACAGTAGGTTTATGCACACTGAAGACTGAATGTGATGATCTAGAAAGCTGTAGAGCAGAGTCCATTGTGGACAGTGTCAAACAGCTGAAGCATGGTCTGCCATCATAATCTTTAATTTTGTTCACAATTTTCATAGTTGCTTTTTTGTGAAATATTGACAGTACTACTCTAAAGAATGAAATAAGAATTATGATAAGATGTACAAGGGCTTAGGTTTAATTACTAATGCAATAAGGTTTCAGCTAATACATACTTCTGTCATAGAGTATTTGCATCACATGTTTGAGGGATGGGAAAACGGAAAGAAGGTAGGAAAGAGAAAAAAGAGGAAGCAGGGGGCTAGCAAGATGCTTCAGCTGGCCGAGGTGCTCAACTGCAGGCCTAAAAACTTGCATTTGATCACTAGGACCCACAAAGTAGACAGGTTGTCCTCTGGCTTCCACGCACATGCCATGCCATGCACATTCTCCCCAAACACACAAAGAGGGAGGGAGGGACTGGTTGGTAGTCAGTGTCAGAAAAAAGGAGAAAAGAAAGCAGGTTTTAAGTTTTGCACACTCATAAGCACCATGCAGGCAAAGCATTTGTATACACAGAATAAATAGATCTTCTTAAAAAAAAAAAAAAAAAAAAAAAAACCCACAAAGAATAGGAGGGTATTGTAGTACATAAGGGCCTTGTAGTTAGAATACATAAAGAATTCTTACAACTCAACAATCAAAAAAATTTTAAATGGGTAAAGAATGTGAATAAACATTTCCCCACAGAAGATATCCAATCAGCCAATAAGCAAATGCAAGGATATTTAACATAATTAACCAGCCATCAAAGAAACACACATTGAAGCTGTGAGATGCCAACCTGCCAACCACTAGGATGGCTACAATACAAAGAGAAAGCAAGGATGTTGAGAAACTAGAATCCTTACTCACTGCTGGTAAGAATATAAAAGGGCCCTCTGGAAAGTCTGTCAGCTCCTCTAAAGTCTCACCACTTGATCCAGTACATACTCAAGAGAACGTTAACAGCAGAAGTATTCACAAGTGCCTCAAAGCTGAAAAGATCCACATGCCATCAACTGAGAGTGAGTGGACACACGTGATCTGCCCAAACAATGGAGCACTGCCTGTTGATAAAAAGTGAGTAGAGCACCAATGCAGAACACAGCATGGACGGCTGTAAAGCACTAACGTTAAATGGAAGAAGCCAGCCACTAGGTCTGCTTCTCTGAAATGCCAGGACCTGAGAATCTATAAAGACCGTGAGTGTCTGCTGCTGGGGAAGGGAAGAAGGTGAGGAGGGAGGAATGGGGAATGACTGCTGAGGGCAGCCAGGCTTCTTCTTAGGGTGAAAAAGATCCTCCAAAAACATACTACTTTTAAATTTAAATATACTGAAAAGTTTAAAATACTCAATTATTCTTTTAAATAGCTACACAGTATGAGAGCTATCATTTCTACAAAGCTGTTTAACAGAAAGGGACAGATACCACAACAACTGCAATTACTATTGCAATTAACATAAGCAGCATGTTAATTAATGGTAAAAGACACAGAACACTAGTCAGTCCTATCTAGTTTTAACTACTATGTGATTTTCCCCCAAAAGTATTTTAACTGGTAAACCATTTACCTTGAGTGTGACCTTCCACCAAGTATGTACTTCTACCCCCAAAATAGCTGCTATTCCAAGCTCTACAGCACATTCAGAAAACTTAGAACACAAGGAAGTGGAAATAAGGAGAAGAGACCAAACAAACTTACATCAGGCTCCAGGGTCACACAACGCTGGAACGCCTTCGCAGAGCCCATGTAGTCTTCCAAGGCCAAGTAAGCACAGCCTAGAGAAAACCAGACTCCAAGCTGCAAAGATCAAAAGTCAAGGTTACGCAAAAACACACACATTTAGAGGACACAATCTGAATGTATTTAAGACACTATCAAAGAATACAATTCTCTACAGAATTCAGGATTACATTTTATTTGCCTGCATTGAGTTTAAATGTAGGAAATCCAAAGGAAATAAAATTTATGATGAAATTTTCAAAGTAATTATAACCATGAAAGTATTACAATATTAATATTAATATACTTGGTGTTAACTAAAGGTAATGGGCTGGTACTCTAAACCTGAGATTAGTGATACAGAAAACCTTACAAAGTACTGGCAGATTCGCAACTGATCAATGCACCACAAACAAGAACAGAGTTCTGCGTTCATCCTCTATTCTCTCAGATAACCTTCACTTTTTAAGCAAGAGTCACCTCCCTGGCAAGGCTCTGTGTAGGCATGTCTGCAAAAACCTTGGAAAGCAAGGGTCAGAATCTGGCTGAGATGTGGAAAACAGGTAATTACAAAAGCCTTCTTTTCAACACAGGGTTTCCTTAAAATTCAATAGAACCTGTCAAAGGGAGATGTAACTCGTAAAAATTCAATGGTATTAGTCAGAAATGCACCTATTATGAGTTAGGTTTGTTTTCCTTTCCGTCACAAAGCCAGAGTGATGGCCGCCTACTTTCCTACAGACTGTGGGTGAAGAAATGACATACTGGGGCGGTTGGGGGTGGCACTGAGGTACCTCTAAGTCAGTCCCTCTTCCCTAGCCAGCCCCACAAAACCTGTTCCTTATGGAAGGCAGAGGCCTGAAGCTCTTAAAGCAGATAAAGATTTTTAGCTGATAATTAGAGAGAAGGCTTCCAAAGCAAACATCCTCAGGCAATTTAACACTTCTCTCTGAATGCACAGGAGGCCATAAATAAATACAAATAAAATATAAATATAAATAAACAGCAAGGGCCTTTATGCAGAACAAATTTTGGTAGAGGCTAGGTGAAGGGGGGTTGGGGAGGGCGGGGTGTGCATCTTGTGGGAAAAGGAGCAAAGATAATTGCTGGAAACTGATGGGAGATGTCATTCTGTATATGTTTCTCATACTGGTTAATGAATAAAGCACTGTTGGCCAATAGGAAAGGAAGATAGGAGGGACTAGGAAACAAGGAGGAAAGAGGAAGTAGGTAGGAGGAGTCAGCATGGAGAGACCGTGGAGACCAGATGCCTGCCCCACTCCCCCAGTAGGAGAAACCATGTGGAAATACATAGAAATGGGTTAATAATTAAGACAGAGCTAGCTGATAAGAAACAAGAAACAGGCCATCAGAATTATATCAAATACAGAGTCTCTGTGTGTTACTTGGGGCTGGCGCAGACAAGACCAGCGGCGGGCAGAAAAGCCCTACTCCTTACATATGGCGACCACGTGGCTAGTAAGAACTTCCACTTAAAATTTAACAAAAGCTTAAAAAAAAAAAAAAAAAAAAAAAAAAAAAAAGGTTTTAGAAACAACAGAACAGAGACAAACAAGGATTCTTGGTAACAGCATTTTTCTGGGTTGCACTCTGTTTTGTCTGAGACAAGCAAAAATTTCTGCGGCTCCTTTAAGGGAAGATTTCTGACTCAGCATAAGTGGCAAAAAACCGCACTGCTAACAATTTATTGGTGTGTATGAGAGATGGCAATGGCAGTGACCACATCTCCAAGCTGGCAGCATGCCTGCTGGACGGCAGCGTTGACCAGGGCAGTGACCACAGCTTTCATTGCTGGCGGTAAAGGTACCCGCCGCCATCTTTGGTAAACCACGGCAGGAACAACCATGACTTTCATTTCAGCAATGTTGTTGTTTACCAGATAAAAGACTCGTGGCTACAAAAAGATAAAGATTTACATTAAAGAAAACAACTAAAGGTTTACAGTGTGTTTTAAAATATACGTAGGCTTGGGAGAGAAATGAAATAAAATGGTTTTAAAAAGAGAGTGAGGAGCTGGGTTTGGTGGCACACACCTTTAATCCCAGCACTCGGGAGACAGAGGCAAGCAGATCTCTGTGACTGCAAAGTAAACCTGGTATGCAGAGTAAATTCCAGGACAGATAAGAGTTACACAGAGAAACCCTGTCTCAAAAAATAAAAAAATAGAATTAAAAGAAACAGTAATAATAAAGCCACGTAAAGATGGAAAGCTCAGAGAAAATATGGATATTGTGCGGTGTTATATTGTCTTTGTATCTTTTGACTGCTGAGGAAATAACAACAACTATTAAAACAAATGCTACTAGATCAATTCATATATTTTAAAAATGCTTTGATTCAAAAATTTAAGTCTAAGGACAAGTTACTGGGGAAAAGGATTTCTATTTGTGTTTCCACAGAAAATAAAAAGCTGTGGATTCCTTCCAGACTAATATGGTTTGATCAAGCCAGGGCCCCTGAAACAGAGTCGCTGGTGATCCAACATTCAAAACAGCTTGGACAAAGCAGCCTTGCAGACTACAACCAGGATTTCTGTGTCTTCTTAGGATTCCCTCATTACAGTGCCCCTTACCAGCAGGAAGTAATTTGGAAAGAACGACGTCCAAATTCCCAAATATTATCTATAAATGTTTGTTTTCATTTAAATGGACTTGGTTATAAATGGTTAATGACCACAACCAATCTCTTTTTAAAGGTAAAAAGGGGATTATGGTATAGATATGAATACTTTGTTTTGGAATGGATTTTCATTTATTGATACAATTTAAGGTCAATTTTGTGATATCTATATTTCTCTTATATTGTGTTTATATAGCTCATTTAGGAATGTAATGTATAATTTAGTACAGATTATAGACAGTTACCTATAATAGTCAAAATTTATAGTGTTAGTTAGGTTTTCTAGATATGTAGAGATGTATTTGAGATGAATAGGCACTCTTCAAACCTTTCCAAGACCTGCAGAATATGGCATTTAAAATGGTTTAGGGTTTTTTGTGACAAAGAGGCACAATTGCTCCTGGTAACACCACCTGCGTTAGACAGGAAGATGGACACCGAAGAAACACGTATGGAGTTTGCCTCCAATATGGCAAGACTAGCCATTTGGACAAGATACTGCTCTTGTCTGGACTGTTTGACTTTATGCTGTATAAACTGGACATGCAGGACCCACAGAAAAGTGACTGCTGATTCAAGATGGACATTGCTACAGAGTTCCTGCTTCATGGAAGAGTCTGCCAGACAGTCTGCAGGACACAGAGAAAAGTGACTGACAAACTGCCAATACAAGTTTCCTGCTTTGCTGAAGAGTCTGCCAGACACACTATGGCCTATGGGCTGAAGATGGAAGATTACAGAAGAACTTCAGTTGACTAACCAGGCAAGATGTCTCTGTCATTTCTAGAGTTTATATATTATCCTTCTGTGGTCTTTGATGGAGTTGAAAACAGATAGTTATGGTTATAGTTTTCCTTAGTTAGGATTAAAGATAAGTTACATATAGGTCTTTAGACTCACAAAGATAGAATAGATGTTGGAATATTTTCTTAAATCTTGCTAAATGTTAATGACTAAATATTGTTAACTGTGATTCTTATTTGATAACTGTTGTGTGATATATTTTACTATGTTAAGGTTAAAACCCTTCTTTTTATTTAGACAGAAAAGAGGAGATGATGGGAGATGTCATTCTGTATATGTTTCTCATACTGGTATACTGGTTAATGAATAAAGCACTGTTGGCCAATAGGAAAGGAAGATAGGAGGGACTAGGAAACAAGAAGGAAAGAGGAAGTAGGTAGGAGGAGTCAAGATGGAGAGACTGGGGAGACCAGACACCTGCCCCACTCCCTGATAAGGAGGCCACGTGAAAATACATAGATCAACAGAAATGGGTTAATAATTAAGACAGAGCTAGCCGATAAGAAACTAGTAACGGGCCAACAGAATTATATCAAATACAGAGTCTCAGTGTGTTAACTGGGGCTGGCGCAGCGGTGGGACCAGACCAGGCGGCAGGCGGAAAAGCCATACTCCTTACAGGAAACTATTCTGCCGACCTGAACTAAAGGGCTTCAAAGTGAGACAGCTCACCACTTTGCTTTCACTGAGTTGTTTGTGCACTGAATGAAAAGAACCATTCAAGGCACCAAAAAACATTCCCTGAATGTGACACAATCTAAAAGGACCCAAGTCCAACCCTAACTTATGTAACAATATATAAAACAAGTCCCCACCTTCCAAACAAGTAAGTTCAAAGTTTTGAAACCTTCATGCTATGTCTCATCAGTTCTCAGGCACAGCCTTGTTTTTAACAACTCTGACACAAAGACTTATCTGGGTTTTTATTTGCTTGCTTGGCTTTGGTTCTGGTTAATTACACAGGTCCCATTCTGCAGCCCAAACTAGTCTCAAACTCATGGATCCTCCTGCCCCAGTGTCTCAGGTGGCAGGGTTACAGGCACTCATTAACACAACCTGATTCCTCAAGAGTCAAACCTTACAATGCAAGGATCCCTTCAAAGAAAACAGGTTAGAAGCAATGAGTTAGAAATGAGAACTATCTCATCACATACTGGAACTAAGTTAGGGACATTGCAAACTCCCTTCAAGGGTCTCAAAATGTCTGGGCCACAGCTGCTTAAAAAAAAAAAAAAAAAAAAAAAAAAAAAAAACCCAAATACTCTTCCTTCCATGTTGATATGAAAAAGAGGCTGTGTAAAATCAAGACACAGATGAAAAACCATCAGAAAAGATTAACAAATACTGCAAGTAACAACACTTAAGATACAGTTCTAATCCACACTGGTCTGATGACATATATTATTTACTTTTAAGTTTTGAAGACCAGCTCATGCCTTATACTCAGTATCTTAAGTTTTTTTTAATGAAAATTTAGATATGACTTCATCTGACATAAAGTATTAATATGATTCTCATGTCCTTTACCTCTGGTTATTTTTGCAGTTGTTTTTAATAATTTGTATGGAATGAAAATCCCAAGATCAGTTAACTACTAGCTCACATCTATCAACACCAGGGAGCCACACGGAAAA